GTTCACCCAATCTCTGCCAAAATGGCGGCGTCTGCGAGGAGACCACTCTGGGACCCAAGTGTCACTGCCATCAGGGCTGGCACGGCCTCTACTGCCAGTACGACATCGACGAGTGCCAACTGTCGGCGCCGGTGTGCATGACGCCGGCCACCTGTATCAACTTGCCCGGCACTTTCCGGTGCATATGTCCCGTGAACAGCACCGGTATCTCGTGCACCGGCGAGGGACTGTACGCCACGAACATTATATCGTCTCAGTTGCACATAACGCTCGACGAGATAATCGGCATTTTCGTGGTGCTGTCGGTGCTGGCGGTAACCGGCTTTGTATTCGCCGTATGCATGAAATGCAAACACAAGTCGCAAACGCACCGCCCCTTCAATAACAGGGATCAAAGTCAACGGCTGCTGAAGAATGAGATCAACGTTCAGCTGAAGAGGCACTCGAAGATGAGTAACTTCGAGATGAGTCACACGAGTAGGCCATTGCTCGGCCAGAGGCCCACCTCGTGCGCCGACCCGCTCCAGACGCTCAACAACTTCAACGTCGAGGACAGGAGTGGCGATGAGTTGGAGACCAATATATGCGCTGAGAATATGCGGCAAAACTTCCAGAAGAAGAGCGCCCCCATCGCCAGCGTTTCGCCGCAAATGATTGACTCAAATGCAAAGTCCGCGTCAAAAAAGGACTCTAAAAAGCAGATTAAAATACTTAACGGTTTGTGTGGATAGGAATGGTTGTGTGGTTTTGTGCGGATGTTTTCATAGCTTTTTGTGTCTTAACAGATGCCAAACCCTCGGCGTGTAAGGCGTCGACACCTCTGACGAGAGTCTCGTTCGGCGACTCGGATTCAAACGGTGAGTAAACTGAGTGAAAATGTATTCATTTTGGGGCCCTATTTGTGGTGATGTGGTGTGACTTAACAAATACTATGTATTACTCTAACTATGAATACCATTAGAAACGCTAATAACTAATGAATATTTGTGTCAAATGTTTGTATTTAGTGTTCACTGAAGAGCAGACCTCCTTAACTAACTCTCAGATCGCCGACGGTATTAACCATTTGCCTAATAATTGCATGAATTTTATAGACATACTGTATAGTAATTGAATGATTCACACTAACCCTGTTAACTGTGCGCCCCTCCCTATCACCCCAGGTTACCATTGGGACAGTTATGATTTGGCCCAATCGGACAATAAACCCATTTGTTCTTCGAATCTGTTCGAGGTATCAGTGAATGAGATCCACGACTTGGAGTCCAACTCAGACAACAGTCAAATCGAGTTGTCGTGCAATGACTCGCAGGAGCGGGCGTTCATCGAGCGGGCCGTCAGTCACGAGAGTTCACCGCTTTTGTCGCGCACAGTTAACAGGGTTAGTGTGAATCATTCAATTACTATACAGTATGTCTATAAAATTCATGCAATTANACAACTGGTGGCCATCGACTCGGACTCGCCGGCCAACGCGAACCTCAGCTACTCGTTCACCGGCGGCGCCCAGACGTACAAAGAGTTTCACATCGACCCGATCACTGGCATCGTAACTGTCGGCAAGACGTTGGACCGCGAGATGATCTCATCCTATATTCTCGAAGCCGTTTGCGATGATAACGGATACCCCAAACCCCTCTCAAACTCGGTGTTCGTGAACATTGAGATATCCGACGCCAACGACAATCCACCCGTTTTTGACAAAACTAATTACACGGTTTACGTACAGGAGGGCCGACCCGCCGGCCACTCGATTGTCAACTTCAATATACAGGACGCGGACAGCGCCGCCAATTCCGGGCCATTCACTCTGCGGCTGGTGTCCGGCGACTCAAACGACAGCTTTGTTTTGGTGAACGGAGACACGTCGTTGCGGACCAACACTGTGTTCAACCATTCATTGCGAGCCAACTATTCGCTGACAATCCAAGCGACAGACTCGGGAACACCGGCCCTGAGCTCGACGACCGCTGTGCTCGTGTTGGTGACACAGGAGCCCAGGATTGCGCCCCAATTGACGCACCTGTCGATTGCGGTGAACTCTTTGGAACAATTTCCCGGCGGAATCATCGGTCAGGTGTCGGCCACAGATGACGACCCCTTCGATAAACTCAGTTACGCCATCACTCAGGAGGACGACAAACACCTGTTCTCCATCGACTCGACGGACGGCACGTTAGTAGCCTTTCCCGGACTGGACGCCGGCAAGTATAAGATCAATGTGACGGTCAGCGACGGCAAGTACGTGACGTACGGTTTGGTGGATCTGGAGGTGACGGTCATCACCGACGACATGATCGCCAACAGTGCGGTCGTGGAGTTGCGGTCGATATCCGCGAAGGAGTTCATCACGAATTACAAGAAGACATTCATCCGGGTCTTTAAGAACGTGTTCAACGTCCGCATGAAAGACATTGTGATAATCAGTATTCAACCGACGGATCACAAGAACCCGCAGAACAGACTCCGCCGGAGTGACGACAATCTGGGAGACATTAGCGTACTGTTTGTCGTCGCGCGAAGTCGCGGCGGGTATTACTCGAGACAATGGATCAAAACCAAAGTGGCGGAGAGTAAGAGCGGTATTGAGAAGCAGTTGGGAATACTTCTGGAGGACTTCGTCGTGAAGTCCGAGTGTCAGCACATCCACTGTAAACACGGCGAGTGTCGCGACGAACTCATACTCAGCGAAAACGATGTCATCTCTATTGTCGGCTCGAAACTCAGTTTCGTGTCACCATTTCACGAGCACCGGTACGGCTGCGCCTGTCATCCGGGCTTCGGCGGGAAGCTGTGCGAAGTGATCGTCAACGAGTGCGCCCGAAACCCGTGCCCCTCGTTCAAGGAGTGCCTGCCGGTGTCGTCGCCCTTGGGTTACCTGTGCCAGTGTCCGTTCGGCAAGTCGGGGCCCGTATGCAACCAAAACGCCGAGACCTGTCACACCAGCGATCGCGACGTCTCCTTTTGCTACGAAGGTTTGCCTACCATTTGAATTGTCTTTTTTACCAGATTTACTGATCGCTGTGCGTATTGAACGCCATTTTCCCCCTCCAGAGCTCAATCCGATCTCATTTCACGGCAACTCTTACGCCAGATATTCCTTCCACAAGAGGGTCGAGAAAATATCGCTCCGTTTTAAGAGCCAACAGCTGAGGGCCAACGTCTTCACGCAAAGCGGCGACAAGTCCTACAATATACTGGAGATCGCCGGCGGATATATTCAGTACCGCTTCGACTGCGGCGACGGCGAGGGACTCATCCGTATCGAGAATCTGGTGGTAAGTGACGGCAAATGGCATGAGATTCTGGTGGAGCGCAAGAGCGACACGGCGTCGCTCACACTGGACCGCAAATACCGGGGCGGAGGGTTCGCGCCCGGGAGCGCCCGCTGTCTCGACCTCAACGTCG